AGTGGTAGAGTGCTAGCCTTGAGCTGAAGAGCTGAGGGACAGCGCCCAGGCCCAGAGTTCAGGCCCCACGACCGGACCTCCTCCCCCCCAAAAAAAAGAGTCTCATAGACTTTCCTGACAGGGCTGGCTTTGAAACATGATCCTCAGATCTCAGCCTCCTGAGTAGCCAGGATTACAGACATGAGCTACCAGCTCCTAGCCTTAGGGTGGTCTTCTAGATGTCATAGGGAAATATATGTGGTTTCAAAGAAAAAGTATTGGTGTGCATAGGAATCTTCGGGATTGGATTTGGTAGAAACAAACACACTATGAGCTCAATAACAGCATATTTTTATCAATTAAGACCAAATAGTCTATCTACAATTCTGTTTTTGGAATCATGTTAGTTTAATTATCTGAAAATAGGATTTATTTTGCATATATATATATATATACATATATATATATATATATAATAGTTTCAAGCATGAATTTTCTCCACTTGCTCTCGAGAAAAGACATAAATCTCAGTTAACAACAACAGATAATTTTAGCAGACATTCAGCATAGGATGTCAATCTTGTGCGATGAATATAAAACATGATGCGGCCTACTAAGGGTAACCTCCTAGTGGTTCAGTGCAACAACAAGAAGGGAAGGGCTTATCTCTAGTGGCCAATAGGCTCCCCGTATAGTCAGTGCTGTTCCAAATAAGTCTGTACGTACAAGGAGGAAACATACCAAGAAAGAAGAAGATGTCAAGAACGTCATACAGCTCCATTGATTTCAGATCAAGATCTACAGAAAACTAAAGCTGAGCTGGCCCCTGTTTGAACTCTTAGGGCACTGGGCCCATTTCATTCATTTGGATACCCAGCAGTCCTCTGCTATCCTATTGAAGGATTTCAGTGTGTGAATCCAGTGTTTCTAGTGGGACAAAGGGCTTTTGTGAGCAGCTAGATTTTTTGCATTGCCCTCTGTGAAATGAGCTTCAGGACGGGAATGCATCATAATCCCCTCATAAATTTCCAGTAAAAAGACCAGAAACTGAGGCCTTATTCAAGTTCTTGTTTTCACCTTGGCTGAACCATCTTACACATACTCTCTCCACCTGCTTGGTGTCATACCGTACTGTCAGTTTAGGTGACTTGCATGTAATTCCTTATGACCCTGGGGTGGCGGGGGCGGGTTGTTATTATAGCATTGCCTAACATCTTAATGTATTTTATTTCTGTGTTTTCCAGGCTATATTTTGTTTCTTCCTTGGCTGTACCCAAATGGTATAGGAAAATGTTTTCACGCTTTGTTGGCTAAAGTATGTTTGCACCTATCTGTTAACAAGTATTGGATAAATAGTGCTGCATCCTTTCCCAGGGTCAGCCTGCTCCTCTAGCCTCTGGTGACAACTCCATGAGTAATTCTTGCCAATTTCTCATTCTCTATAAGGAGAAAGAGTGGTTGGTTGGGGCTTGAACTCTGGGCCTAGGCGCTGTCCCTCAGCTCTTCAGCTCAAGGCAAGCGCTCTACCACTTGAGCCACAGTGCCACTTCCGGTTTTCTGGTAGTTAATTTGAGATAAGAGTCTCACGGA